GTGCACAACAAAGGAGCCCTTTCTATAAACCTACAAAAAGGAGATCCCATGTTTATCTGTTTAGTTTTTTTTTTAAAGGCAAAAGACACTAGAGGAATGAGATTGTGGTGTGTGTGTGTGTGTGTGTGTGTGTGTGTGTGTGTGTGTGTGTGTGTGAGATATTGGAAATGCTCTGGTGAAGCTGCTGTGTCACTTTTTATTTTGATCTTTGCTTGCTGCTTGTCACCCATCATGCTTTGCTCTCGTTCTCCTTTGTTTGTGTGGCGTCATTGGGGACCGTCTTGACTTCGGCTGGCGCTGGCTTTGTTTCTGACTCCTGGCACTCCGACTTTGCTTCTACTGGGCCCTTCCTGCAGAGAATCACGAAAATAGCACTGCTGAGATCCCAGTTGACAGGCATATTCCCCCTTCTGCCCTGGCCCTCTGGGGTTTCTGGTGACAGCCCTCATCTCCAAGGGGGTTGCATGTTGGAATCACCATGACCCCCAAAATCCTGGACACATGACTTTTAAAAGCACCTAGGTGATGGTAATGCAAAGTCCAGGTTGGGAAGCACTGAGTTAGAATGCATCCTCTCCTGCTCCAGCCTCAATTGGTGTGAGGATGGTGGCCTGCTAGGGTAGGGTGAGGTGGCTTTCCTCAGGGGTCTGGAGAGAGGATACAGGCTTGCTTGCTACCAGGAGTGGAGTAGGCAAAGCTTTTCATTTCCCAATGCTGACATTCAGGGGAGCTAGTGAGGGTCTGTTTTTGCAGCTTTTAGTGGCAGCACGAGAACTTATATGGGGGCAGTCACAGAGACCTCCATAAAAGCTCAGGTCTGACTCTGCCTCCATAGGTCCCAGGAACAAGAGTCAGGCCTGAGGACCCAGAAGTGGAGGTACAGATGCCAGCCTCAGGTTTGCCAGCATCACATTTTAAGAAACCTAAAGGTTGAGGACTTTTCCTTGAGCTTAGAGGCCCAACAGGCATTTGGTGTTGGCAGCCGCTGGTCCTCCCAGCCCCTCTAAGAGCAGCAGAAGCCAGGGTGGGTAGGGAAGAGCAGGCATATCAGCCAGTGTGTATTAGGCCCCTGTGCTCCATCTTCCCTGCACACGGGCCTCAGGACTGCCTCTTCCTTCCTGCACAATAGAGCCTTGCTAGTGGGGACCTGGCCTGGCCCTACATAGCACACTGACTATGCCCAGGGTGGCAGGTAAGGGCACTTTGGCCTCCTTAGTGCCTTCCCAAGCTGTGCTTGTCAGTGGCTTGACTGCAATGTACCCCAGGGAAAGCAGAAGCACTGCTTGGATGGTAAGGATGAACTATAATTAACATGGCCTAATTAGTGAGCTGGTGGCGGCTGCTCCACTTGCCCAAGCCCTCCTGCCTGCCCTGCTTCTGCCTCTTCCCAGCCCCTTGGTTGACAATTGCCTCAGAGAAGCCCTGGGCAAGACTGAGGACACATCTAACAAGGAGGACACAGCACCGCACAGACAAACACCACCACAGGACACAACGGGACAACAGCAGACAAAGAGAGGCCGTACTCGGTCTTTGCTGGTGCAGGTGACACAGAGCTGTCTGCAGTGGAAGGAGCAAGCTCGGGGGCTTGTCCACTGGCCCCAGCGGCAGGAGCAGGAGAGCCCAGGGCTGCAAAAACATCCTTTGCAAGGTCAATATCTGGGGTCTTGAAGTTCCCTTCGTCCATTTTAAAGTCCTCGCCCTGGGAAGGGTTTGTGGCGCTGACAGAGGCAGCCTCGCTCTTCGGACTAGCAGGGGCTGTGGCTGCCTCGGGCGGGCTCTTCACAGCGCCGGGCTGGGTGGGCTCTGGGTCCGGGCCTTTGGTGCTGGGAGCCTCTTGCTTGGCCTGGGGGGTTTCTGTGGCAGGGGCAGCGGCTGCTGCTAGAGGACTGGCTGCCC